ATATATATAGAGAGAGAGAGAGAGAGATATATATATATATATAGATACATGAATATATATAGATATAAATATAGATATATACATATATATGTATGCATGTATGTATATATACATATATATATATATATATATATGCGATATATATGTATGCATGTATGTATATATATATATACATATATACATATATATATATATATATGCATATATATATATATATATATATATATATATATATAAATATATATGTACATATATAAATATATGCATACATACATACATATATATATAAATATAAATATATATATATATATATATATATATTTACATATACATATGTATGTATATATATATGTATATACATATATATATATATATATATAAATTGGCGTTCTCTCGCAATACAATAAATCGTGCACCATACACAACTTCACATATAAATGAATTAGCATCTTGACGCACAACTTTGAGTATTCGTTCTCAACCCAAGAAAACAATACTTTAGGGTGAGTATCGTGCATGAGCTCACAGATACATACATTGGCATTTTCTCTCACATCCTTGGTGTCCTTCTCGTCAAATCTTGCACAGTTGTACCACGCGCTGCCGTGGGGAAGCCAGTCACCCATGCACACCCAGCAGAACTCGTGCTTGCACACTGCTGATTTACAGACCATGTGGTTGCAGCCCCCGTTCTTCTCAATCGTCACTTGACACTTGGGACACTCCTATGGGGATGAGTTCAGAGAATGAACATAAGCGCATGGAATCGGCGGGAGAGGTACACACAAGTGCTCAGTACATTTTTTAATCTATATGAAAAGATGTAAAACATAAGAAACAAATCAAGCCCTTCCTGCTAATTAATAAAATGAGATACGCTCATGAGGTACCGTAAGAATTCGGGCCGTCTTACATTAGCTATATAGATAAAACTAAACCTCCTACGAATGCGTATTCGAAGGAAGGCATGAAAAATGAAGACTACGGGCAGCCGTACAAACGCTCGCGTGGTATCGCAATACCATGCGTGTCTATCCCCACAAATACAAATATATACTACACAACCGAGCGCCCAGCACCCACCTCGCCTACCTTCGTATTGGCATTGATCCAATGCGCTGTCTCGCTGTCGTCGTGGCACTTCTGCACCCATTTCTTGAGCATGTCACACGCCACAGGCTCGTGCCATTGCGCACCGCACTTGAAGCAACACACGCCCCCACACTTACAGGTCACAGGCATCGCTCCCAATATCTCTACTTTGATGGCGTTGTCACACCCCGGCGAGGGACACCATCGGATGTGTGCGTTCCCGGCAACGAAGGATTTGGCCACCAGGTAGTGATACTTGTCCAGTACCTATGTAGATGCATGTGG